TAGGAGAAGGCTGACAGGTGTGCCCAAGATCTGCTGGCATTTGACAGGAGCAAGGTGAACAGGGAGCTGGGGCATGACAGAACACAAGCACCAGGTCCTGGGAGGTCCTGCTCCCTGGTGACTTCCCCCATCCTAGGCTTCCCATTTTCTCCACATCTGCTTCCTGACACCAGAATTTACCCTGAGTCCTCCACACCACCTCATGCTCACCAGCCCCCACAATGAACTCCAGACTTCCTCCCAAACCCAGTTCTGTCCTTGGATCCCATTTCAGTGGCAGCACCATTCTCTACCCAGTTACCCACAATGGAAAACTGGAGGCCACCAGGGCCCCCCCTTCCTCTCCATCCACACCCAGGAGTCCCCAAGCCCTGTCCATTCCATTGCCAGCATTTTGCTATTTGCCTAATTCTCTCCTGTCTCATTAACATAGCATGAGTGAGGCCTCTCACCTGGCCCTGCGCCCCAGCCTTCTCCCTGGTCTCCCCACCCTCCCTCTCCCTTCATCAGTCATCACCAGCAGCCAGAGTCATCCTTTTAGCCCTCAGATTTCATCCAATCACTCTGCTTGAAACCTCCTTGGCTCCCTGGCCTGGCCTTCACAGCACATCCTGCTAGCCGCCTCCCCAAGCCTCACCTGCACTCACCCAAAAATTCAGTCCCACTGTCTGCTCAGTACCCAACCGAGCTTCCCATCTCTGAGCTTTGCACATACTGTTTCCTCCCCCTGAAGTCCCTTTTCCATGTTATGCCAAAGGCCACAAAGTTCTCATTTACCCTGCAGGATCCTCTGCCACCCATGTTCCTCCCACACTGGACAGCATCCACTTACCTCACCAGTAGACGGGGGGGCCCTGTGCGAGGGGGCACAGGTGGCACTGGCATGCTGAGCTCTGTCAAATGTCGCTTGGTGGGCAGTGGGGGCAGCATAGGGTCTGGGGCAGCTGTGGGTGGGGCTGAGAAGCAGGCAGGTGGCATGCAGCTCCTTCGAGGTGGGATGGGGGGAGCAGCAAGCAGCCCCTCATCCTCTCTAGCAGTAGACAGTGGCTCAGGTAGAGTGGTGGGTGCAGGTGATGAGCGGAAGACGTGGCGTTTCATGGGCACAGGCCGTGGGGTGGGGCGAGGTGCAGGGGTTGGGAGTGCATGTGTGCGGAGCAGGCCGGCCAGGATGCGGCGGCGATGGCCGGGGAGTAGCACGCCCATGTCCACCAGGCGGGCATCGCTGAGGCCATGGCAACTGGCAGCCCATACCAGTCCATGCTGCTCGAAGAGCCCGCTGTACTGCTCTAGGTGCAGCGCCTGCAGCCACTCGGCCACCGACAGCGCAGCATCCCCAGCCTCGGCCATGGTTCCTGCCAACAGAGGCCCAGATGGTAGGGCTCTGTCCAGACCTGGAACAGACAAAGGGGCACAAGGTCAGAGGCACAGCTGCCCAGGCATGATCACCAAATCAGCATCTCTCTATGACTTTGTCATGCCAAGAGTTCAAGTCTGCCCTTGAGCTTTCTTCTCCATGTCCCACGGACTAGGCACAGCCAGGTACTGACAGATCTCAGAACAAACAGACTATGTTCTCTGCCTGAAATTTGCCTCCCTGTGGCCTCCTGGCATCCAGCTCACGTGTCTCCTTCTCTAGCAAATGCCCCGTGACCTCTGGGATTAGGTACGTGATCACCTTGGCATGACTATGTTATGTCTAGCAGCGCCCCACTGCCTCTGCAAAGCCCAGGTGAGGGCCCGATTCCCAGCTGAGGCCTAGGCCCAGGCCCAGGGGCTTAGGGAATATATGTGGGATTGAGAAGCACCACAGATGGTCCCTCCAAATGCCCAGTTGGGGGCTGAGCCTTGCTCCACCTCCACGTCCATGGAGCAAGTACAATGCTCCAGAAGATGAGTCAGCCCAGCATCAAATAGCCTATGGGGTCCTAACCCTATGAGTAACCCCTCCCATCAGCAAGCCAGACCAGGGAGTCAATGTATAGGAAAGGCCATTCAATTGTCCACTCAAAATAGTTTGTGTGGGCAATGAGGGATGAGCTCCATCCCTGCAACTCAAGGGCTCCGAAGCTGGTATGAGTCAAGAGATGACACAAAGAGATAGAGGTAATCTACAAATCAAAAACCAAAATCCAAACCTGTTGCTGCTGAGTCAATTCTGACTAATCAAGACCCTATAGGACAGAGTAGAACTGTCCCATAGTGCTTAACAACTATATTACCAAGGCTTCTTATTTACTGATTAAAAGGATCATACAATTCTCTCCAGATACTAAAGAGACATTTGATAAAACTCAATATCCAGCTTATTTAATACACAATGAAAAACTTAGCTAAGATAACAGAGTGATGCTTCCTTAAACCAAACCAGTACCTTATTCAATGGAAAAACAACAGAAAATTTCCCTTTAAAATCAGGAATGAGACAAGGGTGTCCATTTCACCACCATTATTACCAGTATTTCACTTTATTCTGAAAGTCTAGATAACAAAAATAAAGGGAAGCAAAAATTGGGAAGAAAAGAAAATACCCATTACTCAACCCACTGCCATCAAGTCAAATCCCTCCTTGGGTTTCTGAGGCAGTATCTCTACAGAAGTAGATTAACCAACCTTCTTTCTGAGGAGTGGCTGGTAGGTTTGAACTGCCTTAGGCACTATGCCACCAGAGTTCCTAAAATACCCATTGTTGCTGTTGTTGTTTTGTCCATCAAGTCGTCAAGTCAAGTCGACCTGACTCACAGCGACCCCTCCTTGGGTTTCCAAGACAGTATCGCTATGGAAGTAGATTGCCCAACCTTCCTTCCAAGGAGGAGCTGGTGAGTATTCATTACTTTCCCATAATTTGGGTTTTGAACTGGAAAGCCCAAGAAAATCAACTTAAAAGCTAGTATAAACAATAAAATTATTTAAGATAATTGGGTTTGAATTATAACAGAAATCAATACTTATAAGCAATAATCAGGTAGAAATAAAGAATTTAGTAAGACAACTGACTTCAAAATTAATATGACTGATAGAAATCAATATTTACAAGCAATCATCAGGTAGTAACCAAGAAGAAAAGACCATGTGATACAACAGTGAATTAACTGGTATGGCTCTTTTAGCCATCTTCTTTGTGACTCCCACCAGATGACTGGATGGAACTATACAGATGTGACATGCTTGTGGCCCATCAAGGGGACTGGTTAGCTTGCGAACAATGTAAATAAGGTACACGGCACCCTTGTGGGGGTGAGGCCATGCAAATAAGGTGTACAGGACCTTAATGTGGCGATTGGTTAGCTTTGTCATTCTGCTGGCTTAAAATAAGCTCTACTAGACACAAGAGAGGAGCTCTGGTAGCGTAATGCCTAAGGTACTTGACTGCTAACCAGAAGGCTGGTGGTTCAAACCCACCAGCCACTCCTCAGAAGGAAGGTTGGGCAATCTACTTCCGTAGTGATACTGCCTCGGAAACCCGAGGAGGGGTCGCTGTGAGTCAGGTCCAACTTGATGGCACACAACAACAACAACAACAATTTCAAAAAAACATGAAAAGCAATTAAAAATAACATACTCACCAATAAAATAATAAGAAATGGACAAAGAATTTGGAAAAAGAAATTCACAGAAAGGAAAATATAAATGGTTCTTAGATGTATGAAAAAGTATTCAACTTCATGAGGATAAATACAAATTGAACACATATTCTGAAACACCACTTTCGACTAATCAGATGGACAGAGTAAAATGTCTGAAAATACACAGCATTAATAGTGGGGTTGGGAAACAGGCATTGCCCTCCATGTGGGTGGGAGTGCCTCTAGCTAGGGCAATGCCACAACTGCTATCAAAACTCCAAACCCAAGGACCCTAGGTAGTGCCAATGGTTTGCACTCAACTGGGAATCAAAAGGTTGGCAGTTCAAACCTACCCAGGAGCACTGCAGAAGAAATATGCCTGGTGATCTGCTTCCATGAGCTTATAGGCAAGAAAATCCTACGGGTGTTTCCTTAAAAAGTTAGAAATAGAGATACCACGTGATCCAGCAAACCCGCTACTAGGGAGAAATAAGAGCTGTGACACGAATAGATACATGCACACCCGTGTCATTACAGCATTATTCACAACAGCAAAAAGATGGAATCAACCTAATTACCCAAAGACAAATATCGTATGAGACCACTATTATAAAAAGTTTTATAAAAAGAAAAGGTTTATATACAGAAAGAAAGATTCTTTGATGGTTACCAGAGATGGGAAGGGGAGGGAAAGAAAATCACTCACAGATAGTAGACACGTATTAACTTGGGTGAAGACAATGAAAGGGAGGTCAGCGCAACATGATTAAGGTAAAGGAAGACACTGGGATGCATGCAAGAGTAAAAGACAAAAATATACTATTACATACACAATCCTGCAACAATAGTAATAAACAATACTTTATGAACGGGATCACAACAAAAGGTCCTGGTCAGAGTGGGAGAAAAATGTAGAACAAAATTCAAAATCATAAAAAAGACCATATTTACTGGTCTGATAGGGACTGGGAGAACCCCAAAGACTATGGTCCTTAGATACCCTTCAAACCTGGAACCGAACCCACTACTGGAAATCACCTTTCAGCAAGCAACAGATAGGCCCATAAAGTGAATAGTAACACCCGTGAGGAACATGCTCCTAAGGATAATCAACCAAACCAGACCAAAAGGGCAACATGTGGCCAAAAACAAAGTTCAGAAGGCAGGAAGGGGCAGGAAAGATGGGCGAATAGAAACAGGGAACCTGGCGAGGAAGTGGAAAGAGTGCTGTTACAGTGACAGTACGAAACAAAATGTGCATGAATTGTTGAATAGGAAAGGAATTTGCTCTGTAAATTTTCACCCAAATCACAATTTAAAAAAAGGAAAAAAAAAAAAAAACCAACTCTATGGGCCAGTTGTACTCTATAACACATGTAGTCTCTTACATCACAAACAAAAACAAAATCAACAAAATTCCCAGGCCTTCTGCCCTTTGACTCAGCCACCCTGAGGCATTTACCCTAAGGTCTCACAGCACCATCCAAAATGCCCTCCGTAGAAAGTTATCTGCTCCAGCACTCTATCATAACAAAAGACTGGAAGTAATGCTAGTGTCTGTCAGTTGAGCAGTGGTTAAATTATAGTACACTTATACAAGAGAATACTGAGCAGCCATAAAAAATGAGGAACTCCTTACATCTTGATAAGGCACAACATTCAAGATATACTGCTAAATGAATAAAGAAAAGTATACAACAAAACATGCCTTTTATATAAAAGGGGAAAAAACAAGGGAGGGGCTAGATCTGTACATATCTACTTATAAACGCACAAAATGTCTCTGAAGTGATGCACAGAGGTTGCTGCTGACAAGGGAAATGAAGGGCTGAGGGGATGGGAGATGGATCCAGATTTTATGGAGCCTGAAGCTAACCAAAATGTTAGAAGTTCAAGTCCACCCCAAGGTACCTTGGAAGAAAGACCTGTGATCTACTTCCAAAAAATCAGCCATTGAAAACCCTATGGATTCTGAAGAACAAGAGCAAAAACAAAATAAAATATTAAGAAGAAAAAGCCCTATGGAGCACAATTTGTCTGACATACACGGGGTAGCCCTGAGTCAGTGCTGACTTGACGGCAGGTAGGCTATGTTTTGAAGCTTACACAATTTGGATGCCCTCTTTAAGAAGAATTCAAAAAAATCTTATTTTTGTAAAAGTTGTAATAACACATGACCAGACACACACATTGCTTGGGCCCCTCTGTGGGTGCTGGGAGGTGCCCAACACATCAAGTTCCATCAGCTTCCTCAAAATCTGTCCCTGGGCAGAAGGGAGGCTTTTCATTATACATCTGTGTCCCCTAAATTTTGAACTCTGTAAATTGGAAAAAAAAAAAAAAAAAGGCAACTGAGGGACCCAAAAGAGACCCAAAAGAAGACACAAGCAAACAGAAATGCATCCCACATTCTTGGAGAAGCTGGTTCAACATCATAAAGATGTCAACTCTTCCAGGGTTAAGCTAGAATTTAATGTAATCCCAACTAAAAACACCAACTGTATTTTCTTTTAGGCAGACAGATTCTAAAGTTCACATAAAAGTATATTAAAGATTTACTGTTAAGTGAAAAAGCAAGATGCAGAATAGTGTTATAATATGCAAATATCTGGATTAAAGAAAAAAAAAGTGTGTATCTATACATACAAGAGTCTCTGGGTGGCACAAATAATTAAGTGCTTAACTACTAACTGAAAAGCTGGTGGTCTAAACCCATCCAGAGGAGCCTCAGAAGAAAGGCCTGGCAACCTGCTTCCCAAAGGCTCAGCCTTGAGAACCCCGGGAGCACAGCTCTACTCTGACATGTATGGGGGCGCGAGCTGCATCAACTCAGGCAACCACCCCGAGGGCTGCACGCACACACGTCTACAAAGAACACCTCTGGACAGGTACATGAAAACTGGCTGTCTCTGGGGAGAGGAACTGGGCAGCTGGGAGAACAGGAGGGGAAGTGACAGTTCCCTTTCACTATGCCCCTGTCATCTTTTTAATTTGGTACCACTTTAAAAAAATAAAACTTTAAGAGATAACGTGATAGTGTTGAAGGAACACTGAGCTTCTGTTAAGGGTGAAAGAAAAATTTGGAAATGGGTAATAGTGATGGTTGAACAACATGATGAACATAACTAAAGTCACTGAATTGTACTTGTGAAGAACGTTGAAATGACAATTTACCACAATGAAAGAAAACCAAAACCAAACCAAACCCACTGCCATCGAGTTAATTCTGACTCATAGTGACCACCACTGGGTTTCCAAGGTGGTAAATCTTTACGTTAGTAGATTGCCTCATCTTCCTCCCACAGAGTGGCTGGTGGGTTTGAACTGCCAACCTCCTGGTTACCAGTCAAATGCCTTAGGCACTGAGCCACCAGAGCGCCTTTCAATAAAAGGAAAGGTTAAAAAAAAAAAAAAATTTAGAAATAGTGGTAATGGTTGCACAACATCATAACATGGTGAATATAAGCCGTGTTACTGAATTGTACACCTGAAAGTGGTTAAAATGGCAAATGTTGTGCTACATGTATTTTACCATAATAATAACTGAAAAAAGATAATGTGATGAAGAATACAGACTGGGAATGAGAAAGAGACCAAAATTCACAGACAAGAAGGAGAATCAATAAGCAGAGACAGTGACAATTTTCTAGTCCCTGCCCGGTCCCATCCCTCTGATGCCTTCTTAGAGGCTCCCAAGATCTGAGCCTCACCCTCGGCCTCCCAACCGGCCTCCCAAGCGAAGTTTTCAAAATGGAAAATGGGACCTCATGGCTCAGCCTCCAAGGAGCCTCCCCTCTCCCACACCTGGGTCCCTGCCACCTTTCCAACCCCCCCCCCACACACACACACACACTCACCTGCTGGGCTGCCAAGGAGGTCCTCCTCCCAGAGGCAGCAGCTACTTGGAACAGCACACCATCGTGGCCTGAGGCAGAAACTGCAAGCACAGAGAAGGAGGAGAAAGCCCATGAGACAAGGCCACCAGGGTACTGAGCAGCAAGTAGAGCAGCAAGATGGCAGAAGAGGGGAGAACAGGGGAGAGGAAGGAAGAGAAGGAAAAAGAGGAACGGGGTGAAAGATGGGGAAAGGGAAGAAGGCACAGAGATGAGAAAGAGCACAGAGAAAGAACAAAGAGGGGAGGCTTCAGGGTAACTAATGGAGCTGGGGATGGACGTTAGACCAGAGGCAGGCCTTCCAGCAGGGGTGAGGATGGCAGACAGGCCTGCCAGAGGTTGGGGCCACACAGGTGGTAAAGGGGAGTCACATCTTCCCATTCCTGGCCCTTTCCCAGAACCAGTGGCAGGGATATTTGGACAGGCTGTGGTAGGTTCGTCCAGGGCCTGGAAGAGAAGCCGGCCAGCCCCGAGGGAGCGGATGGGGAGGGGATCTATGTGGCTCCACGAATTCCCCCATGAGGCGTTGTCAGAGAGAAGTAGGGGGCTTGGGAGCTATAAGCGAGGCAGGAGCAGAGGAGGGATAACCAAAGTAGAGGGTGCAAGGCCCCAGAGTCATCGCCCCTAAACATGTGTGGGAGGTTAAGGAAAATGGGCTGAAAAAAGGTGTTTCGGGGCAAGACAAAAAAGGGATCAGACATCCCTGAGGGCAGGCCACTGCCCCTGCTGCTCAGATGGTGCGGCTGCTTAATGGGAGGGGTGACCTTGGAACAGAGCCAGGTCTCCTGCCATTAGGGCAGGGTTAACCCACAAACTGAGAGGCTCTGTATGATGGCTTTAAGGGGGTATTCATGACCATATTAAGGAGCCCAGGTATGACAGTGGTTAAAGCACTCACTTCTAACCAAAAGGTGAATAGTGCAAACCTACCAGTTTCTCCACAGGAGAAAGATGAGACAGTCTACTTCTGTAAAGATTTACAGCCTTGGAAACTCTATGGGGCAGTTCTACTCTGTCCTATAGGGTCACTATGAGTCAGAAGCAACTCAATGGCAATGGAATTTTTAAAACCATTTTAAATTTTATTGTTGTTGTTGTTGTTATGTGCTGTCGAGTCAGATCCGACTCATAGCGACCCTCCTTGGGTTTCCGAGGCAGTATCACTACGGAAGTAGATTGCCCAACCTTCCTTCCGAGGAGTGGTTGGTGGGTTTGAACCACCAGCCTTCTGGTTAGCAGTCAAGTGCCTTAGCCACTACGCTACCAGAGCTCCTTAAATTTTACTAGTTAGCCATTTATTTTAAGTAGATTCCACAATTATCACTGCTTAGGATGAGAATAAAATAGGTTTATGTTTTTCAAGTGAGCACTTTAAAAAGTAGTTTTAAGAAATTAGTACTTCAGGAGATAAAGTTGGAAAAAATGGCAGTGCTAGGCTGCTAACCAGAAGGCTAGCGGTTCAAACCCACCAGCCACTCCTGGGAAGGAAGGTTGGGCAATCTACTTCTGTAGTGATACCGCCTCGGAAACCCAAGGAGGGGTCGCCATGAGTCGGGTCCGACTTGATGGCACATAACAACAACAGTGAAATGACAATTTAAAAAATTAGACAACATAAATAGTGCTCACTATGTGCAGGTTCTACTCTAAGCAATTAATATTAACTTAATTCTCATAGTAACCCTATGAGACACATATGACTATTATCCTTATTTTATTATGAAGAAAGTGAGATACAAAAAGGTTAAGTAATTACTTGGTATGGTAGCCATAGTCTTTGTAACTCCCACCAGATTACTGGGTGAGACCATGCAAATAAGGTGTGTAGAACTCTAAGGTGAGGATTGGTTAGTTTTGTTATGTTCCTTCGCTTAAAATGAGCCCTCCGAGAGGGGGTGGGGGGGTGGAGATCTCACTGCCATCAAGAGAGAAGAGCTGGAGCTGGAATGGAGTATGTCCCTGGACCCGAGATCCCTGTCCCGGGCCTCCCTGGCAGAGATGCCTGGCAGAGATGCCCTGGCAGGGACATCCAGCTGAGAGACAGTGGCAGTGAAACCAAGAAGCATGAAACAGAGTGGCAGGCTTTTGGCCCAGGGAGTGAGAAAGCTGAGTGCCTTTGGGTAAGAGGTTTGCTGGCAGAGTGAGGTACACCTAGGAGTACCTATCAGCAGAGCTAAAAGAGCTTTGTAACACTTGCCAGAGCAAGACAGAGGCCAGGCCAAAAGGCCAAGGACCAGAGAGATATGTCTGAGGGCACAGCGAAGGGGAGACTGCCCTGATTGAAGAATTATATACTGAGTACATTCCTGAACCTGAATCATATATAGTCTGTTACTTCCCTAATAATCCCCATAATCTTGAGTATTGTCTGTGAGTTCTGTGTGGCCTTTGCAACGAATTACTGAACCCATCAGAGAAGAAGTAAGTGCCATGGGAGGGATGGTTGGTGTCAGAGTTGGTAAAAAGTTTGGAGGGTGGCAGCATGTCTGGCCTCACAGGAATAAACCTTGGGCTGTTGATGGTGACTATTTATCCCCCTTGAGGTTGGAGGAGGTCAGAAGATGCTGCCTCCTTGCCCTTTTAGCAAGTAACTTGCCTAAAGTCACACGGCTAGGAAGGGGCAGTATGGGTACAGTCTTGACCTGTGCTGTCCAATACAGTAACCCCTAGGTATTGTGGCTATTGAGTGCTTGAAATGTGGCCTTCAGAATCAGGTATGCTGGAAATAAAAAAGCACACACCTGGTTTTGAAGACTTAGTACTAAAATGAGAATGTAAAATATTAATATTTTTTTCTATTTATTATATGATGAAATAATATTTTGGATGTTTAAATATATTATTTAAATTATTTTTACCTGTTTCTTTTTAGTCTAACTACTTAAAAAATTAAAGTGGCATTTGTAACCTTTACAGAAGCAGACTGCCTCATCTTTCTCCCATGGAACGGCTGGTGGGTTTGAACTGCTGACCTTTTGGTTAGCGGTCACATGTTTTAACCACTGCACTCTTGAAAGTGATAGGAAACATTTATTAAGCATCTACTACTTCCGTAGTGATACTGCCTGGAAACCCAAGGAGGGGTCGCTGTGAGTCAGGTCCGACTCAATGGCAAATAACAACAACAACAACAACAACAACAACATACAGCTAGGCCTCAGTCTGGAAGCATCCCTGAAACCTGTTCAGCATCATAGCAACACGCAAGCCTCTACTAACAGGTAGGTGGTGGCTAGGCACAAGGTGTTGGCCAGGAATTGAACCCAGGTCTCCTGCATTGAAATAAATTGAATAGGTCTCCTACCACTGAACCACCACTGCCCCCAATACTTCTGAAAATCAGTCAATGAAAACCCTATGGATCGTGACCGTCCGATCTGTAACCGATCACTGGGATGACATGGGACCTGAGCTTTCTGTTTTGTTGTGCATGGGGTTGCCATGATTTGGGACTGACTCATAGTAGCTAATAACAGCTACAACAATAGGCCAGGCACTGCCCTAAAGGCTTAACACAGATTAACTGATGACAGTCCCAACAACCCTTCTCCAATGACAAGTCTGGGAAACGGGAAACCACTTCTCCCTGAGAACAGGGCCCAGCCCTCTACTGGGCCTCTCTCAAGTTCCTATTCCTGCACTAAAGGACTCAGGCCAAGGTCAGAGGCTCGGGACTCTCAATGACACCATCTCTATTATACCTCATCCCCACCCCACCTTACCCCCATTGTTCAAGGTGCTGGAGGCACAAACAGGAACCAGACCTCAGACCTGGTCCCACCCTCCAGAAGCCTCAGCCTAGAGATCAAAGAAGGCTTCCTGGAGGCGGCAAACCAAAAAAACCAAACTCACTACCTTTGAATCGGAGGATCCGACTCATAGTGACCCCTCTTTGGGTTTCTGAGGCAGTATCACTACGGAAGTAGATTGCCAAGTCTTCCTTCTGAGGAATGGCTGGTGGGTTTGAACCATTAGCCTTCTGGTTAGCAGTCAAATGCCTTAGGCACTATTCCACCAGAGCTCCCCTTGGAGCTGGCAGCTCCTTAAAAACAGAAGTTTGGAGCAGTATCCTGCTGAGTCACCTTGGAGCTTGAGCCAAATAATCAGTAACACTGATCCTCTGTTTATTTAAAATTTTGATATTTTGTTCATCATGGATTATTTTTTTGCGGGGGGGCATTAATTTTGACTTTTCAAAAAATTTGCATCAAACTGTATTTATCTTTACTAAGATGGGGCAATCTACTTCCGTAGTGATACTGCCTTGGAAACCCAAGAAGGGATCGCTATGAGTCAGTCGGATCCAACTCGATGGCAGTAAGTTTTGAGAGAATGAGGTTTTTTTGGTGCCCTTTAAATTTTACACCCTAAGAAAGTACCTCATTTGTTTCACCCTACTCTTGGCCCTGGTTTGGTGGCTATAACACGTAACTGAGTCCCAGTGCCCAGGGAAGCAGGGACTTGGCAGAGACGAGTGTCATCCTGCTGCAATAGCATGGCCACAAATTGGGGGGTTCTCCTCCTCCCCTACCCCAAGGGCCCAGCTCAGGCTCCCATACGCCCCATCACCCTACCGTACCCCCAACCTCTTCCTTCTCCCTCCAACCTCTAAGCTGGGTCATAGCAGGCATCTCACAGCAGATAAGACCCCAATCCCTTCCAAGTTCCCAGTGCCCTCAAGTCCAGCTCCTTGGCTGTCCTTCGACCTGGTCCCTGACATTTCCTGGTGAAGAAATGGACACCCATAAGGAGGAAGCAACTTGCCCAATATGTTGGTGACATACCCCAAGCACCAGCCAGGCTAGATGGATGCATCCACAACTCCTTCACGTCACTTCCTATACCAGGAAGGGCCTGGAATACAATGAGCCCCCAGAACTGTCTGCTGACAATGAGCAAATGAACCACTCTCTCCCACCTCAGGTAAGGGGCTGTAAGCTGGGCCCTCCACGAAGTCCTGCCTGACTGCCCTGTTAAGCCCCCAGGCCTCTGAGGCTGACTCACGCAGCTCAGCACTGCTTCTGTTCTGTCTGTATTGCTCCAA